AAATATGCCATCAAGAAAAAGTTTTTTTTTTTGAATTCTGCTAGCTTGAACCTTAAGCCAGCAGAATCGCTCCCATTAAGGGTGGTTTGGTGGTGAAAAATTATTAGAGTGGTAATAAATTAGTGAAAAATGGGTGAAAAAATATGCCATCAACAAAAAGTTTTTTTTTTGAATTCTGCTAGCTTGAACCTTAAGCCAGCAGAATCGCTCCCCTTAAGGTTGGTTTGGTGGTGAAAAATTATTAGGGTGGTAATAAATTAGTGAAAAATGGGTGAAAAAATATTACGTAGGTTAAATTGGATTCCGCTCATGTGTCCCCGCTAGCTTAAGGGTCCTTTATTTTTTGTCGTTATAAGGGTGATTGTTTTGAAAATGTACATTTTGATGTCCTTTAAGCAAAAAGGTTTAATAACAAAAAATAATTATTAAAATATTACACTCAAATAAAGTGCATTAAAACCTAAGTTCCTATGATTTTTTAAATTCCACAAATAAAATCTACTCTGTATTTTTTTTAAATTAAAGGGTTCAATTCCCATTTTTATTAATGGCCCCACCTTGTTCATATAAGCTTTGAAATAAAAAAACAGTATTTTAATATATTACATTTAAATAAATAATTACAGAAAATTATAAAATGGCTGACATTATGTCTTAGTTTTATCATTCTCTATAAAAAATAATTTATTTTATAGTTTAAAATCCGATTTTTATAGGTGTCCTCATCATTCGTTCTCACTTTCGTTAATATAATTATTATTTGACATAAATTTAGTTAGTCGGCGCTGATAGTGTGACATTAAAAGTTTTTTTTGACAAGTCTTGTTTCATTTAATAAAATCGTTGAGAGAGGTATGTTGTTCTGTGAAATTTAACAAATATTAAGAGCAAAACGGTGTTAAGACCCACAAACGGTAAGCATAATGTTTCACTTTTGTTAATAAGTATACTTTATGAAAAAAATTTAATCAATAATGTGCAAACAGTATATTCTAGGAAATTAATCAAAGTAGTTATTTTTAAAATGGCGTCACCATCCAAACAATTTACCCGGGATTTGACGGGAAATTTATAATAAAACCTCACTTGCGTTAATCTCACTTGCGTTAATTTATGTGTTAACGAAAGTGAGAAAAACTTACACAAATGAAGTTTGATTAAATTTTTAATGTTCTTATTTTGTACTTAAATCTTGATAACATATTTTCTAAAAAAAATAAACATACATTTTTTAATTCAATATGCTATTTAGAAGTTTGTAGACATGGCAAAGTCGGCGAAAAACAATGAAAAAAAGAAAAGTATTCTTAGGGAAAGATAAAAAATGCGATGCGTAAGTTAAGAGAAAAAATAAAAAGTAATCCGGCATTACATGAAGAAAAACGGAAGGCTAGAGAGCGATATATAGCAAGAAAAGAAGCGGGTAAAGTAAAGAGAATTGATGAATTATCAGAACGAGAGCAAAGAAATATTGATTGAAAATGTTGGCGAGAAAAAAGTAAAAATCATACAACGCAGAAAAGAAAGAGAAAGACTTTTGGCTCAGCTTAATGAAATAATCCCTTCATTTACTCCAGTTCCTGAGGAATTTGTAGAAGATATTACACCTCAACAAAATCCACTGCCTGAGTCATCACGACAGTCTTTGAAAGGAAAACAAATAGTACGAAAAAATAGGGAAAGAATGAAAAAAGAAATAGAGCTTTTAAAAGCTAAATTAGAAAGTACATGTAAGAAGGTTTCAAAATACAAAAAAAGGTATTATATGTCTATTAAATAATTTAAATCTTAACAAAAATAATAGAATCAATAAACATCATTTAAATTTCATAATTTCAATTACAAAGTTACTTAATATTAAAATTTAAAAAAAAAATGTAAAATAATATTACCTTTTTTTAGATATGAAAGATTAAAGAAAAAAGGCCCTACCACTACAACTAAAAATGTTCGGGAAATGCTCATTGGGTAGAAGGTTACTCCAGAAGTAAAACGGAAACTTGTAATGGAGAAGTGCTTCACCAGCAGCTAAAGGGAAACTACAAAGAACAAAGAACATTTAAGGACAAGCAAAGATTTGTTCATTCTATTTCTGGAGATATAGTCAAAAATATAGTTGTGAAAATTTGGTAAGATCAGTTAGTTCAAGAAGAATCGTAAAAAATAAAAATTCTGGGCAAGTATTAAAAAGAAGAAGGTTAATGTTTTTAAGATTAAAGGAAGTTACCTCAAGCTTTTTTGAAAAAGATGAAGTAAGTCGGTTATGCCCTGGCAAAAAGGACACTGTTACTTATAAGAAAATTAAAAAGCAGAAACGGTACCTAAAATCTTTTTATTCTATTTAATGCTAAGCATCCTGAAGTTAAAGTGAGCTATTCTAGATCAGAAAAGCACAGATCTAGAGCACAGAAAAAAGCAGAGAAACATGTCTTTGTATAATTCATGAGAATTTCACTTTACTTGTAAGTAAATTTTTCTACTCTCTTACTAGTAAATTGTCTAATACCTACTATTTGGATGCTAAGTAAATACATCATAACAGATACTGACACGTAATGACTAGCACGTAATAAAAAAAATTACGCTTCAGTTTTATAAAAATGTGTAATATCACATAAGGCTTGTTAGTCAGTTGGTCGAGTTACCATGGAAACGAGTTAACAGACGTTATTTTGACAGATTAAAAATTATTAATCTGTCCAGTGTAAATATAGTGGTAATTTAATTTTTATTTTTATAAACGAAAATAATGGTAGAAAAAGTATAGTACACAACTTGAGTTGTAAGCTTATTACATGCTTGTAAAATTACTGCGCTCGCCGCTACGCGGCTCGCGCGCAACTTTTTTACTCGCATGTAATAAGCTTCTTACAACTCTCGTTATGTAATATACTATAAAGTCATTGCATATCATAAATGCTGCTAATTCGACACAAGTAGTGAAGGAAATTTGTTGTGATGTTAACAATGAAGAATGTTTAGGGCGTTTATGTTTAACATGCCGTAATAAAGAAATACAGTTCTTCAATGTTGATGACAGCATAATAATTTATAAAAAATGGCTTTCAAAAAAAGTTGAAATTATTAAGGGCGAGAAAAAAATGTGTCAAAAGACAATAAAGACAATAAAGGAAGAAGTTGAGAGCACAAAAGAAAATATTGTAAGCATCTTTAAAGAAAAACTGCCCTATTTTTTAAAACACTTACTTAACATTAAACACCAATAGAAATGTATCGACACGATTAAGAATAGCCTAAAGGAAAATGAGGTTCTTATACACCTGGACTTCTCTGAAAATTATATATGTAAATATGGACGAGAAATCCAATCTGCTCATTTTGGTGGTTCCAAACCACAGATAAGTTTGCACACTGTAATGGTTTATACAAAAAAAAGGAAAAACAAAAAAAGTCCAATGTGGACATTTTCCGAGAATCTTCGCCATGATCCTTTTGCTTTATGTTCCCATTTGACAACCATTGCAGAGTATGTAAAAACCCTAATTTCCAGTATATCTATGGTACATTTCTTGAGTGATGGACCATCCACACAATATAAAAATAAAACTATGTTTTTTTAATAGTGCCATATATTTCGAAGCTTTTTACCTGTCAAGCTATAAGATGGCATTATAGTGAGTCTGGATATGGCAAAGGAGCACCAGATGGTATTGGGGGATGTTTAAAAAGGACAGCAGATAGGCCCAAGGAAAAGATTTAGACAACTTTAATAGTTTAAATAAAGAACTTAGAGAAAATTGTAAGGGATTTTATGTCATACAGTTTCTAGTTCGGAAATTCAAAAAATTGAAAATGAACTATCCACTTCAGATTTAAAAACATTTAAAGGTACAATGGCTATAAGAGAAGTTGTTTGGACAAAAGCCTCCTATAATTTACTAGAGGCAAGAACATTATCATACTTGACATGTGGAGTTCAAGAATGTTGCCATTATAAAATTGGTATCATGGACATCCCAGATTTAAATCCGTCCCAAAATAAGAATGATCATCACCCACAGATGCAATCAAATGAATGTATCCTTTTTTATACTTTGTTTTTAATTTTAGAATTGTTTCTTTTTGAGATTTTTTTAAAGATTTTCTTAACACAACTCGTAGTATTGTATGGTACATCTGGAAAACAAACTAAGAAAAAAGAAGTAAAGTTCACACAACGAAAACGAGTTCATTACAAAGATATATACTTATCAGACTTGGATAGTGAATGAAATGACTCTAAATGAGTCTAAGACACCAAAAACAAAATATTCAATTAGACCAAAACTTAATAACTTTATTGTGGTTAAGTTATCTTCGAAAAAGTATAGTAAAAATTTTGTTGAACTGGTAATAAATATTGACAAAGATTATAATTATACTGTAAAGTTTCAAAAAAAATTCATAAATACAAATTTGTCTTTCCTGAAAAGGAAAATGTGTCTACCATTTCATTAGACGAAGTTGTTTGTATTTTGACTTCACCTGATCTAAACACACGAGAACAATACATTTTTAGTTCTTTGCCAAGTAATATTTATATTTCATAAGTGTTTCTGTTTTTAGAGTATTATTATATAATTTCACATTGCATTTTTATAACTAAGAATACAATTTTTATTTTCAAACTTGTTATTTTAATATAGGTTCCTATTTTCTCACTTTTGTTAATTACTTTCTCACTTGCGTTAATAAACAAATTATAAAATCTAAAAATTTAATAAATATAAATATGTTTAAGCTTTACCTGTTATTAGAGTATTAATATTTAGATCTTCCGGTTCTGTCTTCTGTCTAGTTGGCTTTTTAAATTTTTAACATTTAATTTTTTTAAAATTGAAAATGTACATTCTAATAGCAATGACCCATAAGCAAATTTACCTCGCTATAGAGGGTTATAGTTCAATAGAAATTTTACGAGACATTTAATCTACCTCGTTATAAGCGAAACCTCGTAATAACCATGTTCGTTATAGAGGGAGTATACTGTATATATAAATTTACCTTTCCAAACTTTGATCTAAATGTAAACACTCTCTTATGAGCATCTCATAACGTGTTGCCAGAGGTGGAGTTTGTGCCTTTCGCAAGGCACTAATGTCTTTGTGTAATTCACCAACTTTTTCTTTGATGGAATTAAACTGTTGATTGAGATCTCTAATTTGGGATTCAAATGATCGACAATGGGTGGAAAATGAACTATCTCCATCCAAGAGCTTGTTCTTAAGAGCAGTTTGTTGCTTCTTGGTAGCTGGCGGGACGCTGTCGTACATTCTGGAAGCTAGAAATAATATTATGATTAGATAAAAAATTAATCAGGTATGCGTTCAAGAGGAATTAAAAGAATTATATTCTTTTAAAATATATAATATCGTATATGTTGGAGAAGTTAGCAATATATTCAAGTGTCAAACCACAAGCACTTTTTCATTTGTATATATACAGGGTGAATCAGAATAATAATAATAGGATATAAAACTCACGTTCCTGAGTTACAGAATGTAAAATGTTTAAAATTATAAATATTGTAAATATTTTTGTTTACTCTTTTTAATAACGATAAATAAGAAGCACCAAAAATCTAATGATGTATCATATTGAGTTTGTTAGAACTACCAACCGGACGTTAGAATCCGCATTTGTCTGGACCAGCCCGCAACGGAATGCACCACAACGATCGGCAATTTAATATCTTGTGTCGAAAACTCAAAATAGAATATTTTCGAGGACAGTAGTTTCAATGAAATAGAGTTTCTAAATGTTGTATTTTGTTTTGTGAGATCAGTTTTTACAATAAAGAAGAGTTCTTGATATTTTTGGTAACTCATTCTACAGTACTGATACAATTTGTCTTGATAATCGATTAAACTAGGAAATAAAGTAGCAAATTCACTTTCCGTGTTTCGCTTTTTAGAATTTGCATGCATCCATTTATTACGCTTCCTTGTTTATTTTGTTGTTGCTCTTCCTCGCACAAAAAACTAACAATAATAATTTTTGGGCCAATTTTCTTCGCGCTTACCTTTACTTGTGGTTTATGTAAAATAGTGTTTCTTCACATTTTCTACGCGCTATACGCGGCTGTCTAAATAATCGTTCATCGTAGGATTGGTAACTGCGGTGAATTTGAGTGGTCGCCTCAAAACCCCAAATTTAATCCAATGCCTTTTTATACGTGCTTACAAGAAATCTATTATTTATTCTATATCTATAAATACACTAGACAGATTGTGGAGTATAAAAGAAAAGTATCGATGGTATATGACAAGTAGAGTATTGACAGTACAAATATTATCTAATATCGTAAAATAAAAAATCTTCAAATATAACATATACCAAATGAATACTTACTAGCAGCCAATTCTGACTGATGCTGACTTACAGCAGCAGGTCCAATCCAAGGTTCAAGACTCTGAGCGAATTCGCTTCTATAATTTGTCTTAATTTGCGACGACTGCAGAGATCTATAACAAATACATAAATTCCCAAAATCATACTCAACTTTTGATCTAACGATTGATTTACCTAACAGGCTGGCTTAGATTTCCTACCGCAGAGAGTCTTTCTATAAGAGAGGGACACAGTTCTAGAAATTGGTACTTATTGGCAGCAGCTGTGAAGGTTGTGCAAAGAACCAAATGCAGTTGTAATACTGGCATGACGGTACCTAATAAGAAGATCAAACTGTTTTAAGCAATAAATTCAAAATATCAATAATTTCTGTAAGATAATATGTTCCTTACCCAATACAACCAGCTGGCTTCTGTAAATTCTTTCTTTACTTTCGTATTGTCGTTGGACTTCCATAATCATTGTTGCGTGAGTTTTCGCCATGGCTTCTTGCATGCCGTGGCAAAAAGTGTTGATGGTGTGTTTTTCGCTGTCCATGTTTCTTCGTAATTCGTCCATCAGGCCTTTCAGAGCGATTATGCCGTCTCTCACAGATGTCTTAACAAAAATATTATGTTGTTAAATATGTATTAAAGGGTAAAGACACTATAAGTCAAATGGGAAGAAAAATGCTTCTAATTATAAAAATGCCAATATTTTGTGAGTTAGAGCTACTCTGATGGGGTAATATATGACTTTTGGTGCAAATAACAAACAATTTTGTGAATATTGGTCCAATATCAACAAAATGTGGGCTTAATATGTTTAAACAATTATGTTTAATATAAAATCCTATTACATTTTTCTATTACTTCTTCTTGATACCTCCTTGAGCGACTTGCTGTTCCATCTTCGAGTGGCTTCTTATTGAATATTAATTATCACTCCATATTTTTTGGCCTTCCTGTAGTTATTCGACTGTTACTGATTCTGATATACCTTTCGTGATATTTTTACTAGTCTGTGCTCTCCCATTTCTGGTATGTATCCTGTGTCCTTTTGTAGCTATTCCACTGCTTTTGCTGTCCTATGATATCTCTATCACACGTTTATTTCACACGTTTCCATAAACCTTATTTTCTTAATATCCGGTTTAGCATCTCTGAAGTGTAAGTCATAATCGGCCTCACTACCGCCTTATAAAGTTTTCGCTAGATTATTTTGCCATCCCCTTCTTGTTTGCATCTTATTGGATTTTTGAAGATTTACCATTTGTTTTGTTCCTTACTCATGAATCCTACTGTCATCAATTATTGAAGATATCATTGAAACTGTTAACGCATTGTTATACCTGGAAGCATAAACTAACATTGGTAATAGAATTACCGTGGAATAAACTACAGACACAACAAACGCAACATTATAGTATCTTATGTATTTGAAGCGTTATTATTGATTCACAATTTAACTATGTATGAACAAATTAAGAAGCACTTTCAAAACACCAAAATGAAGGTAACCTCAAGAAATAACATTATAAGAACTAGAACTTCCAGGAGAGTAGACGCACAAACCTTGAAGACAACAGCTCTTGCTCTGTGCTACTCGGCCGGTGAATATGCCAGCCTCATAATATGATATAGATGCGCCCATGTAAGGTAAGTGGATATTTCCCTGAACGAAACGTGCAGAATCATAATTGAATGCTTGCGACCAACACCTATGGACAAGGTCCATATCCTAGAAGGCATCACCCCGGAGACCTGCGGATGGGATGCGGCTGCCAACCAAGAAAGACAATCAAAACAAACGAGAAACTTCCATTGAACAATTATGTCCGCGCCCAACGAAGAATGCGATCATGCAAGAGTTTTCTGGCAACATCTACTATTCTATCAGAAAGCATCAAATATAAGGATTAATACTTAGAAAAAGAAATCTACGTCTCTCTCAAACTGGATGACCCAATAAGAAATTCTACCTCATGACTACAACACCGTCTGGACCACCTGGAGATCCCTAAATAAACTGAGATCGGGAGTAACAAGATACAGATCAAATCTCCGTAAATGAAGATTCCCAACAACGACAACCCGTTATTCCTGTGGAGAACAACAGTCGACGTCTTATCTGTATTAGTGCAATCTATACCCTTGGAAGTATACGATATACGAAGCACGATTTTACTTTATGTTGCTATTGGCTAATGTTTGTTATGAAATTTTAGTATATGGCTGTTACTATAATTATTACTGCTAATGTGCTTAGATTTGTAGATTTTAGTTATGCAATTAACAATGTGTTTACATATATATTTCAACTCACTTATCGTAAAACCATCATATTATTAACTCGTATTAAATAGAAATAAATATAGCTTTATTAAAACTGATTCTAATTAAAATCTCTTACTTTTACACTCACTTGTAAATCCATTATTGCATTTTGACCCCTTTCTAAGCGTTTTGCAGCTTGAGCGTGAGCAGTATCGATGTCGACGCATTGGGTACGTATTTCATTGGGTAGATCTCTGAAGCAGTTAACACACAACATAGTGTTTTGCAGCGGCGAAAACATTATATAGTGTTCTCCATGTTGGAGACACTGTAAAAGAAAGCATATTTTAAATATTGTTATGAAATGTAATGAAAATGTATTAAAACGTAATGAAAATGTACTATAATGTAAAGGCACGTAGTCGATCATGAAAAATAATCATAAAATGTTTTATTGATGTCTGCGAGACCATTTAAAGAGTCATCACACCTTGTCGTGTTTTTTATTTATTTAGCGTATACAGGGTGGTGAATCTGGTGGCCATCTGTTGTACTTCCTGTGGGGAGTTGCTCTACCATTGTCTTCAAGAGTTGATGAGTCTGAAATGTTAATGATGAAGGAGGTGGCCTTTAATAATGAGGATATCTGGAGGGCAGACTATTATTCTGATATCAAGCTTGTCATGGTGGATGGGCACTTGATGGTTAGTCTGCATTTTTCTATATTCTCTAAGAAGAGAATGACTTCTTCGTAGTTTCGGCGATGGGATGTGATTCAGAATTTGAAGCCAATAATTCGGTGTTGGTCTAATTGTTTGATATTGAGCCATACCGGTACTCGTGAGATTGCTATAATGTGGGAGGCCACTCTGTTGAAAACTATTGGTACTTTGATATAGTTTTTCACATTTTTCATCCCATCCCGAGATATATTCTTTAGTATATCCTTTTAAGTATAATTGTCTTCGATGTAGTGATAACCGCGCCAAAAAATCTCATGCATTTTTCTCGTCTTATCATAGGGTTATCCATCCCAGACATTTGTCGGATCTCTCAGTAAAAGTCTTCCGGTCTGCTTTTTTAAGTTCCACCTAGGTCGAAAAAAAAAAAGATGTTTTGTCAGCCTCTTCGCTTCAGTTTAGCAAAGTCTCGCCGTTTTGATAACTTTGCTTATACTTCCAGAGTTCGCTATTTATTTCTGTCTGATGTAGAACATAATATGTGGTCATTTTCTATTTTGTTTCGAACATAGGTTGCTACTCCATAAGCTGAATAAAAAGTTGCACCCAATAAATCATAGCCACAGAATAATAAACAATCAGAAGGGCCGCTCTCAGATGCCGCCTTTGAAGTTTTTCAGCACGCGCGCCATGTTTTAGGAGGACACAGACATATGATTTTTGTGGTTATGTAATTGTTTATATTTATGTTTAATTATATTATATTTATGTTATTATATTTAAGAATGTTAATATAATTGTATAGTATGTCTATGATTGCCGTAAGTCAAATAAACCTGGTTAATTTTTCCATGCACACCACATAAACAACACTAATTTCTTTAAAATCCTCCTAAAACATGGCGGAACGCCTGCGCGGAGGAGATGCGCGTACTTAATTTTCCGTCGAGAGTGGGTATTCTGTTTGTTTATTATTCTGTGTCATAGCCATGAATTCTTCCTCTAGCAAGAATTTACTTTTCGTTTTCTACATGGGTTTCCTGAATTACGACCACGTCAATATAATTATTTTCAGTGAAAATCTTTTGGAATTTTACGCACACTTACTTCTACTACTACATTTAGATGACAGATTCGGATGCTTGGTCCGAGTCCTTTGATTGCTTGGTCCTGAGAAGGTCCGTTTAAATTGTTGGTTGGAGGCGTAGAAATTCTCATCTTATCAGTAGAAATAAATTCAACTAAACAAATTTTAACACATCCATGGAGAATTTTAGAAGATCCAATTTTGGCAAATGATCCAGCATAGTAGTGCTTCTTCGATCTTAAACTATCAAGTCAGCAAACCAACATCAGAAATACGATAATGTCCGCAGAAAGCTAGATTCTGCCATTCTCAACTTGATTCTTAATGTTATGATGATGTATATGTTATGATGAATATAATGATTTTATGTTAGTGTTGGGATGCAGTTTTTCTGTATAATTTTAATTAGAATGAGTCTTTATTTTCCCATTTATGTAGTACTAGTTTCATATAAGATTGAAAAAACTGATTCGCCGCAAATAAAAAACTCAAAACAACATTTACCACTTTTGTATATACTGTAGACTCTTTGATAATATTACTTTCGCATATAATATGTGGCAACCAACGATTTACCTTTTTAGCTTCCTTGGCGCATTTGCTCATATGAACAACATCGTGGGTAGAAAACATCTTTGCTCTATGGGTATTCTCACGGCAGTGAAGACACAAGGCTTGTCCTATAATGTTTATGTGAATTTTAAACTTTTTATCTATATATAAAATAAATTATAAATGAAACGAACAAATTAATTAAATTAAAATGTATACAAAATAGGCTTAACTGAAATTAGGTCAAAAAAAAAAGAAATAACTAAAATACACTACGCATCTTTTGAAGTGGATATAATTACCCCTACATATTTTGTATAAAATACGAAGAAAAAAAAGTATGAAATTGTCTCCAACGGCAGCTTAATTTTCATAATCGACAGCCACTGATACTTGAGAAGAATTTTGTAAGACCAATTTTTATTTTTATGATCCAGTATCGAATTTCATTTTTTAAATTCCATCAGACTTCTGTAACAAATCTTTCGAAAAGCTTTATAAGATGAGTCAACTGAAATTTCAATTAACAACGGAAGCACTAGAATTGACCGAATAAAAATTTAAAATTAAATTGACATATTTAGATTTTGAAATCGGTTTTTATAATAATAAATAAACTGTTAACATCTCCAGAATTATCTAATCTATCTATCTAAGTTGAGAGTGTTACAAAGTAATCGGTGCTAAAGAAAATAGAAAACAAATGGAAATTCTATTTAATACCTTAAAAAGTAAGCTACTGTTTCTGGAGCATACTTGCCGTAATCAAATATATATTGTAGGACATTGTATAGAAGGTACTGATATTTCTTGCTGCGGAATTTTCCGGACTAGTTTGTAATGTGCCTATAGCCCATTTCCATCATATTGATAGCACATTATGTATGCAAATCCCTAAACTGTTGATACGGGTGACTCAATGAAAAATATCTATATTTGTCAACAAATTTACAGAAGTATATAGGAAAACAATTTTAAATTGACTATGACTACCAGGTATAAAGGTTGAAGCAGAATAGAATACAATAGTTTTGAGGGTTACTAATCCCCAAATAAAGTTGCCAGTGTCGTAGTGATGGAGATTAACAGGTACTAATGAATTTGCAAGAAATGTAAGATATTTATTTTATTGGTTATATATAAAATAATTTGTGGCCATAACAGAGGCCGATTGGTAAAAAAATTAATATTATTTTAATCAAATTCCATTTCAGATTCACTGCTTTCTTCAGAATCTAAGGAATCTTCAAGTCCAATGTTAATTATTACCGGTTCCAACATTGCATCAGTCATAATATCCAAATTCCACATTTTATTTTCTTCCTTGTGAGCATGACTAACAGCATTTTTCCAATTTTCTGGAGTTACTTTAAAAAAGGAATGTTCTAATAATTGTTGTAAGTCTTCTAATATAAAAGTTTTCTTGTTGCGTTCGACTTCACCCTTTACTTGAGACCATATATTTTCTATCGGATTCAGATCACAGTGGTATGGGGATAAACGTAAAATAATTACATCACGGTTTAATGCCATTTCATCAATTATATATTTTTTATAAGCTGCTTTATGTTGCCTTACAATAGTTAATAATTCCTTTTTTGTCGAATTCTGCTTGCACTCAATTGCGTGTTTATCCAACCATTCGATTATCTCTCCTTTTTTCCATGCCGTTGTTGGCAATTTTTCTGCTAGTCTTGAATGGTAACTAGCATTATCCATGACTATGACAGAATTTTTTGGAATTACATCCAACATTTGCTCAAAATATTCTTCAAAAACGTCAGCAGTCATTTCCTCGTGATAATCTTTGGTTGATTTTGAGGCAAAACTTAATAATCCACCATTGACAAAACCGTATTCGTTTCCAATATGGGTTATTATGAGTCTGCGTTCTTTTCCAACGGGAATATTGTTTATTCCAGTAGATACACCTTCGATGAATGTCTGCCGGGAACTTTTCACATTTGTATCAACCCATAGATAGGGTACAGTATGACCTTCATTTAGCCAAGTCTCGTCCAAATAAAAAATTGTTTTCCCTCTTCTCGGTACTTTTTAATAGTTCTTAGATAATCTCGTCTCCAACATACAATGTAATCTTTTTCAATTAAAACGGATTTTCTTCTATTCTTTTGCCAACGAAATCCCATCTCTCTCAATAGTCCCAATAATTTCTTGTTGCTTATGATTGGTAATTCTTCGTTTTCTCTAATTAATGTTTGGATTTTGTCCAATGTTGGAAATTCTTTGTTAAAAAAAATGAGTGGATGCTGCGTCTTATCATGTTTTTTTGTATTTCTTCAATTTCCAAGGGTTTACTCCCTCCACTCTTCTTGGGAGATGAAACAGTTCCTCCTTTTCTTTCTTTTAGGAATCTATAAATTGTTGCTTCTCCAACCCCTGTCATATTTGAACACATGTTAACGATTTCACGAACATTACTTAAAGGGCGTTGATGTACAAGTGCATCGTATACATTTAAGATTATATTTTTCTCTCTTAGACTGAAGGCACCTTTAAAAATTAAAACTACACTTAACCGAGTAAAAATCTGTTGTCGACGTCATTTTTAAACGCAAATAACAAAATATCGACACCAAAAACGTAGGTAGGTAAGACATGAACAATCTACAAACTAAATAGAAGATGCAAACAATTTCTAATTTATATTATTGGCATAAGCTGTAATGTGGCATAAAAAAACTTCATTAGTGAAGCCTTATCAATAATTCCAGGTAATCGTTCAAAGAATGTATTCTTTTTGTGTCAGGCGATAACTTGTATAGAAAACAATAATCACCTTTAAATTACTGTTTACATTAATAATTTATTTCGTGAAACATTGAATTCTCTCGTTAATCACCCGTATATAATTAACAATAATCGTGTAGCATACCCATATACCGACGTTTTTTACGCACAAAAAAGGTATAGTGAGATTAGTGGACACTTATTTTACAGAAGACTTTTTAAAAGATAATGAATTGTTGACGGCATCTTAAAATATTAATTTTTTTTTATTTATTTCAAAACAAGTATAGGGTGACGAATATGGTTTTTTGACCTGTTGAGGATTTGCATACATAATGTGCTATCAATATGATGAAAAGGACTATAGTAAAATTATTCTGTGCGACAGACAGTATATAAAGTTAATAGCAATGCCGATCGGCAACCTTCAAAGAAAAATATGAACAAAATGAGAAGTCTTTTAGGTCGGCTTTATTTGTAAAATATATTTAAAAATTTTTTTTTTATTATATATCTTGTTTTATTTTGAATAATTTGAATGATCCATTTTAAAATACGCGCAGTGTAATACAATAAAAAAACATATAAAGGGTGGTCCTTAAGTAATTGTACAAAAAGAAACCGCAGATTCTACACCTTAAAATATTGCGATGTAAGCCAAATTAATTTCTTAATATCAACATAAAATGTTGATATTAAGAAAGATACAGGGTGTTAATGTGGACATTTAAAATTTTATTTTTCGCTATAACTTTCGTGTTTGTAAACATTTATGTATACAAATGTACCACTAGGTACTATTGAATATCAGAAATTATAATTAAGTAATGCATATTTTGATGTAGCTGATAGAGGGCGCCACATATGTCACATATGTGGCATACATTTGCACTTAACTTTTTTGCTCTTTAAATAACCGGTATTTCTTATAAAAAATATTAAAGATACATTATTTTAACAAAAGAAAAGGTATACTTGTTAATAATTTCAAAACTCAACAGTTTTCGAGATAATCGCATTTTACAAATAAACTACATAATTCTGATTCAACGCAATTACTCCAGGTAACGAAAGAAAAATAGACAAAAACTTAAAAAAAATAATAGTGAATTTTGGTATAAAATGCCTTTAATAAAGTTAATAGTTAACGAAATATTAAATAAAATAAATATATCAGCAGGATAGTTAATAGTAATAAAATGTAAATAAATCTCACCATTCAAATTACAAGGCAATTCGCATATCCGTAAAAAATCATTACCAATGGTTCCAAACCATATGTTTATTTAAAATTCATATTTAAAATGTATGTCGTATGGTTTGAAACCATTGGTAATTATTTTTTACGGATATGCAAATTACCTTGTAATTTGGATGGTGAGATTTATTTACATTTCTTTCTTCTTCTTCGCGTGCCATATCAGAACTATCAGACGTTGGCGGTCACCATTGCGAAGGCTTCTCGATCTTCTGCAATATGGAATAATTGTCCTCCATTTGGTATCTGAGTCCATTCACGAATGTTTTTTAACCAAGAAACTTGTTTTCTTCCTACACCTCTACGGTCTTCTATTTTGCTTTTAAGGATCAGTTGTAATATTTTATATCGACTTCCCCTTACTATATGTCCCAGATAAGACATTTTTCGATGTTTAACAGTCTTTAGCAGTTATCTGTCTTTGTTGACGCTCCTTAGTACTTCTTCATTAGTTTTTCTTGCTGTCCAAGGTATCTTCAGCATTCGTTTATGAACCCACATTTCCAATGCTTCAATTTTGTTCATGATCGATACTTTTAGCGTCCACACTTCTGCACTATACAAAAGTACAGACCAAACATAACACTTAACCATTCTTTGCCTTAGTTCTAAACTGAGATGATTATTGCAAAGAAATGACTTCATTTTCATAAAAGTAGTTTTAGTCATTGCTATTCTACGTTTTATTTCTATATCGGGATCTAGTTGGTCCGTTATCACAGTTCCCAAATATGTCATTTTGTGAACTTTCTCAACTTGGACTCCGTTCAATTGAAGCTTTGCATCGGGATGTGGGTCACGACTAAACACTAAAAATTTGGTTTTGTTTGAGTTTATTTTAATGCCCATTTCCTTTCCTACCTCGTGAATACGATCAAGCAGAATTTGAAGACCTTCAATATTATCTGATAGAATTACTGTATCGTCTGCATATCTAATCACATTAAGTAGTTCCCCGTTGATTTTTATTCCATATGGTTGTCTCTCACGTGCCTTTTTAAATAGCTGGTCCGAGTAAACATTGAACAATGTGGGCGACAAAACGCAACCTTGTCTGACTCCTCGCTGTATGGGGATTTCATCGGTGTAGTTATCTCCAATTTTTACGATAGCAGTTTGATTCCAGTACAAATTTTTAATGACACGAATATCCTTGTCATCTATTCCGATATTTTTCAGTATTTGCATTAATTTTACATGCTGTACTTTATCGAATGCCTTTTCGAAGTCCACGAAACATGCAAATACATCTTTTCTTTGGTCACGGCATTTTTGTAATAGGATGTTTAGCGCAAAAAGTGCCTTCCTGGTTCCCATAGCATTTCTAAAACCAAATTGGGTATCTTCAAGATCTTCTTCGCATTTGCGTCTAATTCTGTTGTGAAGTATTCTGAGGAAAATTTTAAGAGTGTTGCTCAATAGGCTAATTAATCGATATTCTGAGCATTTTCTCGCATTGTGTTTTTTAGATATTGCGATAAAGATGGATTTGAGCCAATCTGCGGGAATCACTCCGGTGTTATATATTGAATACTACTACTTTTATGATATCATTCTCTATTAGTTTCAGCAACTAAGTTGATGTATCATCTGGACCACAAGCTTTTCTAATTTTAGCATTATTTATAGCATGTTCTACTTCGCATTTCATAATTTCTGGGCCGTCAGTACAGTTTTGGTAGAATTCGACAATATTATTCCTGTCATCTTCAAACAACTCTGATATATACAGTTGCCATTCTTTTCTTATTTCTTGCTCATTTACAATAATTTTGTCATTAGTGTCAACAAGTACAGAGGGAACTCGCTTTTTAAATATATTACTCATTTCTTTCAATTTTTTGTGCACATTAAATAAGTCGTGTTTAGATATTACATCCTCCATTTCGTCGCACCTTTCTCTCATCCATTTTTCTTTGGCTAATTTGATCTCCTTTTTTATTCTTCTCTGTAGGTGTCTATATTCTGTTACATTAGATTTTATCAGTAGACGTTATTCCAATTATTTCATGATGTCGTCTGTCATCCAGTTATTTTTCTTGATTAAGTTTTTTCTATAGTCATTGTTTGTGGAGATTTCGTTAACTTGTTTTTTTTTAATATCTGCTACGAGTGGTTGATGAATCCGCTCTATCGAAAACAGATGAATCCGCTCTATCCATTTTTGAAAGAAAGGTGCTACGCAAGATATTTGGAGCGGTCTGTGAGAACGGAATATGGAGGCGTAGATATAACTTCGAACTGCAGAATATCTACAAGCATACGTTTGGTGGTAAAGATATTACCACTATAATTAAGCGAAACCGCCTGCAGTGGGCAGGACATGTAGCCCGGGCCCCTGAATCGAACATGATAAAAAAGATTCTAACAGCGCAACCTGTGGGAATGAGACGACGGGGTAGACCAAAGCTGAGGTGGATGGATGGGGTAACACAAGATGCGGAGAAGATCGGAGTCGGCAACTGGAAAATTCAAGCAAGGGACAGAACAGAATGGCGTAGAAAGCTTGAGAAGGTCGAGGCCCTCTAAGGGCTGTAGCACCAAGATGATGATGATGACGAGTGGTTGATAATCAGATCCAATATCTGCCCCAGGATATGTAGTGACTTTTTTGACGGCATTTCGGAAACGCTCATTTACAAGTATATAGTCTATTTGATTTCTTGAAGACTCAGGGTTATTGTCATCATCAAAATGGGCTTTCCAAGTGTATAGTCGTCGCTTGGGTAGTTTATACCAGGTGTTTGCAATGATCACATCGTTTTCTTTACAGAATTCATACAATCTCTGTCCTCGATCGTTAGGTTGTCCTAAACCATAAGGACCTACAGTCTGACCTCGTCGACCTTCCCCAATTTTTGCACTGAAGTCGCCTATAATATATAAAATTTCGTTTTTATTAAGTTTCTGTAAGATGTCTTGGATCTGATCATACAACTTCTCGACTTCATCGTCATATTTTCTATCTGCAGTCGGGGTATATATTTGAAGTATGTTAGTTTTAAATGGTTGAGTATTTATTTGGAGTAATATTATTCTATCCGAGACTGGTACGAAATTGGTCACATATTTACTCAGTTCTGATGTTACTAATATACCTACACCATTTTTGTGATGCGGGTCTTCTGTGCTGTTACCGGAATAATATAATACACTTCCGTCCTTTTTAAATGATCCTGACTCTGACCATCTCATTTCGCTAATTCCCAGTAGGTCTATTTCTAGGACATTTCTTTATAAAATGATTTTATTGGAAGAATTGTCATTAAATTTAAGGCGAAATATGTGGTTTATACAAGATAGTACACCATTACATTACAGAGAAAGGGGAGTGAGAACAGTATTTAAATACAACTTTCTTGAACGGTATTTTATTCGTGGTAGTCATATTCCTTGGTCATGTGGTGAGATATTAACATAATTATTTAATTTATAAAAATTTTTTCTAAAGAAACTGCAGCAGTTTCTTTAGAACCAATGATGTCATTTAATATGAGACGATCTTTTATGGAATGTACTGTCAAATGAATTAAAGAAAATGGTAGACATATCGAACACTTACTTTGACAAAAAGTTTAATATTATTTAGTTTAACTATTTCTTAATTTGGTTTGTAAATTAAATGTTTTGATTATGACTTTACTTTAATACAAAACGTAAAATGTTTGATGTAAAATCCAATTATTCTGTTATTTTGTCAAATTCTACTATTAATTATCCTGCTGATATTTTATTTAATAATTCGTTAACTATTACCTTTATTAAAGGAATTTTATACAAAAATTCAGAAATATTGATGTTTTTCTTTAATTTTCTTTCGTTGCCTGGAGTAATTGCGTAAAATCAGAATTATGTAGTTGATTTGTAAAATGTGATTATCTCGAAAACTGTTGAATTTTGAAGGTATTAACAAGTATACCTTTTTTTTGTTAAAATAATGTATCTTCAAAATAATGTAGTATCCATCAAATTATAATTTCTGATATTCAATAGTATCCAGTTGTCAATTTTTATACATAAATGTTGACAAACACGAAAGTTATAGCGAAAAAAAAAAAATTTTAAATTTTCACTTTAACACCCTGTATCTTTCTTAATATCAACATTTTATTAAATCAATTTGGCTTAAATCGTAATATTTTGAAGTGTAGTCTACGGTTTCTTTTTGTACAATTACTTAAGGACCACCCTGTATACAGAAAAAAATGTAGACAAGAAATCCAACTCAACTAAATAATTATTTTTGTTTACAACGCCGAGGAAATGAAGGCAATTTTATCGGCAGTTCAGCATCCTCTTTTACATGTTCTAAAGTTTTGACAGTTTTCTTGAATCATCCATGGTCTCTTTATGTATGTGTTCTGCTTCAGCAGAATTGAAAGGATAAAGAACAGCTCAAATTAAATATGTCTTTAGTGTCATTGTATTTGGATTTGATTCAGCAACTATTTTTTGTGATACATGCATGTCATCAGAAATGTGGGTAAGAATATATAAGATATATCCCAGAGAGGCTATAGAAGTATCCAACTTCGAATTTTGTTTTAAACCGGTCATACTTCAACCAATTCTCTCTCTTCTGACTATTGTAAATCTTCCATGTGTGCAACCTTCTGACTCAGGTTTTAGTGCTAACGACTACTTACGTAGCTGAAAGCTTCACGAATTCTCCGAAGCAAGGTGGCGGCTCAGTTAAAGTAAAAAATTAAAAATAGCGACTGAGCTGCGACACCCATACCTTGAATTTTTAAAACTGCTGTTTTGTTTTGGGATCATAACCGTAAACCCACGATTGTTGCCGGTAATGATCGTTTTATACATATTTCTATAAACCATTTTACTGACCATTTTCAAGTTATCCAGGACGACTACTAAGCGAATCATCCCCTGTTGAATGAATGTGCTATACATGGGAGTAATTTTCAAATGATTCTTTTATCTGCATTTTGCTCATACATTCATCTTTTTTTCATACATTAATGCTTCTGGACTTTTATTGGACATCTCTTAAGACCTTTTGAATCCTCTAAATAATATACCGGCCATTTTTATTTTTCTAGTTCAAAGCAAAACTGAATGCAAATTCGGAACTAGTATCTTTTCTTCATTTCAGGGATAACAAAATGCCATGATCTCAAAAAAGACAATATAAAAAAGTATCTTACGAATTAGAAACTTCTTGTTAAAAGTATTTGGTAAGTTTGTGTCGTACTCAATAGAGGGCGCTAGAACTTTTTATGATGAATAAAGATCAGATAAAAATCCACTAAGAAACTAAGTTCCTGTAGCTGGCTGTATACCATATATCACAAAAAATTGTTTTTTAAAGATCAGATACTTTTGGGGATTAACCTTGTATGATTGAGTATCTATACATGAAGAAGGAGGTAATGGAAAATATTCAAAAGTTTATCTGGGTACAGAAAATGGTCTATTTCTGTCTTTTGTGAAGAATTTAGCTCACTTTATCTATGAAGTAATCAACTTAGAAAACGAAGAAAATGAAGTTGGTTTCTCTTATCTGTCTTCCCAGTTTACTACTCTTCTCTGTACTTTTCGAAAATTTCTTTTTTTTTAAACTAATTATAAACTAAATATAAACTAAATTATAAAAAAAAACAAACCTAAAATAATAAAACTGGGATAATATAAAATTCAGTGCATTACCACAAGTATTGCAGTAATACATATTTGACCTATCCCTTTTATCACAATTGGAACATGGTGGATTTTCACTATTGGCAATGTCAATCAGCTGGCGCATTAAAGAATCCGGTGGGGGCAGTGTTGATCCATCTTTGAGAGTTGTGGGTTGCCTAAACGAAATAAAATTTATTAAATATGTGCCTAGAAATAAAATTTATTAAATATGTGCCTAGTACAATACATTTTATGGATACGTCAAATTTTACAATAGTCAAAGTAAAATAAACATAATTATCAATCAAATTCAAGATATACATCAAATGAAAGCCAACAAGTAGTGAATCAATTTGGGCATATCCTCCAATTTTGTTAGTGAGTGGTTCCACAGATATTAACAAACAACTAAATGTCAGAGGAACTCTTGAAAATTGAGACGAGAACAAATTTTATGAACAGTTCCAAAATCCCAACAGTGCAGAGTGTCTGTTAGTAAAATTACATGATATACTAGCTAGGAAAAATTAATCAAATTGGCTTAGTTACCAAAATACAACGCCAGGCAAGGGCGGATCCAGAAAGGGACCATGCCCCCCTCGAGAATAATATAAATTTAAATATTTGCAGCTCAAACGTTTATAGTTTTCTCTACATTTGAGATAGGTACTTACATAATAACAACATTCGTGAAGACTTTGTCAAGTTCATTGACGCTTATAAGAACATAAAAATAATTCGTGAAAATCAAGAAAGAGATGAAGAACAACGCCTGACAGAAGAAACCTTGTGAAAAATAGTATTAAACTTGTTGAAAGAACAGCAGTTTGATTTGAAGAAATGTGTAGGAATCGATATTGACAGTTGAAGCGTAATGAGCTCTGAAGCAGTCGGTGCCGTAACTGACATAAAATAGATTGCAACAAATATAGTTATATTATGTCCTTGCATAAATCATATTTTAAACAACTCCGTTTCAACTTCTATTAATGTATAGTATATCACAAATACAGTGGGAACAATGAAGTCAGTAATATCATGTTTTAACATGTCGGCCAAGAGAAATAAATTTTAAAACTGAAACTATGACAAAATTTATTAAGTTTACGCGAAACAAAATGGGTTAAGCGCCATGAAAGCATAATCCAGACTCTACAAACAAAATCTCTTGATGCTAACCTGGCGACTAAGGCTGAAAGATAAACTGCAAAGAAAGTTTTAGTTAGTAAGATTGCATTCTTTGTCCTTGTTTTGGTCAATTTCGTAAACTAAACTACATTTCTTTCTGTACACTTGTTGGACTTTATGGGGTTTTAGGTTAAAATTAACTTATTTTTCATTGCTAAACAAATAAAAATACTTTAATAAAGATAAGTTTTGAATGTCTTTATGGCACTCAAAAGTGTGAAAAGTACCAACTCACCACTTTAACTCACAATTTCCCTCAGATCCCCCAGAAAAAGTTCATGCCCCCCATCCCGAAAATCGGTCATAGATCGAACGTCAGGTGTTTCTTTTTATATAGACAGAGAAACCTCACACATAAAAACCTGACAAAAGGAGTATAGGATGCTTTTGTGATATATTTTGTTATAGACTTGTATTGAAAATTCTTTAGAGGGCAAATAATGCACTATTTTCATAATTTTCAAAAATTATAAACGACCAAGAAAATGGATCAATATTAATAAGTAAAAGGAATAAAAAAATAAAAATCAATAATAAAGTTGCATTTCAAGCTATTTCCTTGCTTTATATCAATAATGTCATAAAATAATACCTTGTCACAGTAAAGTATTGTTTGTTCATAAATATTGAATTTATGTTATAATTCTGAAGCCACATTTTGCAAATATCTACATAATAAGAAACAGTAACCAGAAGAGTTTTTTTAAAGAACTTATTTTCAAACTACCTTGTTTTCTTTTGTTTTCTGGTTGCGATTTTAGTATTTCCTTTGGTATTCGTTGTTCATCCATTATTTGTATATGTTCGAACCAGATAAGTTATTTTGTTGATAAGTCAACTATGATCGTTCATTTGATTTCCATTATTTCTCTAATACGTTCTTGTTAATCTTTTCTAAATCTTCCTATCACTCTTTTCAAAAATTCATTTCCATTGCACTAACCATTCATAATGTTCGTTATTTCAGTATCCATACCTCACAGCTATATAGAGTGATACTTTTCACTACAGTCTGTACTTATATGCTCTTTTTCTTTTCTTCGCTCATGGATTGGTTCCATAAAATACTGTTTAACATTGTAATGGTCTTTTTACCTGAAATATTTCTTTCTCTTATGGCTTTGTCTAGTGTTCCATAGTGTAAAATATTGATACCTACAGTAGACTCACGATTATCCGAGTTAATTGGGACCGCGCATACCTCGGATACCGAAAAAATCGGATAACCCGGAAATCGGGTGGTTGCATAAAATAAACAAAAAATTTAAAAGTTATGACGTATGTAATTCGTTTATTATGTCCAATTGAAGTATGTTAACCTATATGCGAGTACATAGTTAAAATATATAGATAGGAAAACAATTACATACTGGATCATCTTCGTGTTTTAAAAAAGTCTTTAATAGATTTCTGCGTCAACTTCGGGCCTCGTTTTGAAGTTGCGACGTTTTGCCAACGCGGAAGATAAAGGACGTCGCTAGCGTTTGACTATTCCTGTTGCTGAATGTAGGCAAGGGTAGCTCCAATCGCCTACAATCCTACGGAGTGAGATATTTTCTCGATTATCTCATCTGTGTCACCCGCAGTGACATTGTGTGGGTTGATAACCATGTCGGCCATTGCATCAACAGTCAGTTCCATTTGCTAATCTTGCATAATCCACTCGTTGACGTCTTCATCATTTATCGACAGTTTCGTTGGTAACTGATTAGCGAGGTCTACTATTTCAGCAATACAGTCATTGTTATCTTTTCCATAACTTTTCGCTTCAATTTGAAAAAGCTTTCGCCATGATTTTTTCAAAGTTGTTACTCTCACATCATTCCACGCTGAAGCTATCCAGTAACACACATCCTTAACGGTGACCTTTTAAAGGGCTGCTGCCACAGTCATTCCCTCATCCAAACAGCTCAATAACACTTTTAGAAGCCTCCGACGCTAGTTCCGTTTCATAGCCTTAAAAATTCCTTGGTCCAGAGGTTGAATGACAGATGTGACGTTTGGTGGCAAGAAAACAGCTTTAGTGTCTTTAGTATCACCGCTAACCAACGAACTTACATCTGGATGAGATGGCGCTTTGTCCAAAAGAAAAATAGCTTTTCTTGGTAGGTTTTTCTTTTTTAGTAGGTTCGTCAAAAAAGCCAATCTTTAACAATTTAGCAATCCATCCACGGACTACGTTGATTAATGTACATGGTATCTTCGATTTTCCAATGGTCTTAATTTTAAATATCCAGAAGAGTTGCTACACATCAAAAGAATTAATCGTTTTTTGCTTTTTGGAATCGTTGGAAGCAATCTGAAATTGAGATCCGTTTCGTCACAATTGATGATTTGGTCTGATGTGGGATCATGTTCTTAAATAATATCTCTCAATTTTAAATTAAACGGCTCGATTTCAGATGAATTCTCTTCACGAAAAATGTTCAATGATCGGATGTCATACCTCTTGTGCAAGTGATGTCATACATCACTTGCAGTAAAATTTTCCTCGCCATCCTTAAACCGTTCGTGAAATTCGACAGCATTAGCTTAAAGCATGGGGATGCTATTTGGACTTCCCAACTCTCGAAGATTAAAAAACCATAACAAACAGGTTTGTTCATATTCTCCTTTCTTCATAGTTTTCCGCAACAAATTACTTCCAACACTCACACTTTTATTAACTGATTGTTTAATATCTGTTCATTTACGTCTCCAATCTCCCACAGTCACTTCTCTAACACCTAGGCCAGCAGCAACCTTATTTACTGACTCACCCTTATCCAAGCGTTTTATAGCACTTAATTTTATTTCTAAAGAAATCACAACTCGTTTGCATTTTAAACTTACATTGCACTTCAAGTTACGTAGATACTACATAAAGAGAAGACATGAATGAACTTGTAAGAGCTTACAGTGGGACGAACTGAACAGCTAGCTGTTATGACTAAAACTGATGGGTGGAGGAGTGGCTGGTGAGGCGGCCAGTAGAAGCACAGTGGCTAGAACAATAACACTCGCTAGTGACTCATCTCTTCAGCATACCAACAACCAGTGCAACGCTTTTACTTGATATCACTCTTAAGCTAATTTATTACATAATTTGTTCTTTTCAATCACTACCTCGGTTAATCCAGAGGCTTGGTTAATCAGGACTCTGATAATCGCAAGTCTACTGTAGCAGTATTTTATCATGGTTTAATCGTCTAATATTAGATTTTTGAATAGTCTAATATTAGACTTTTAATTTATTTTATTTATAGAAGAGATTTTTATTTTATAGAAGAGATTTTTAATTATATTATTTGTAGATTTGTACACATTTCAATTAAAAATTTGAATTATATTTTTTCTAAAAAGATTCATTTATTAAAAGCTAAAATAATATTCTATTTTCTTCAAAAAATTTTATACAACACAAAAATTTAATGCTATTCTATGAACACGAGGCATCTACATATAAAAATATCTACAGTTGCATTTGTTGTCCCACTCTTTCTCATTTGAGAAGCAGTAATAGCGCCGACATGACCGCTCCCTAGTGGTACAATAAGGAACTAAAATCATGATCAACTTCTGATTGTTTTGTGTATAACCTTTGCAGATGCTAAAAAATGACAGTGAAAGATTCTTCTATATGCATCTATATTCTTTGCTGGTACTTTCAAAAAGTAAAAACATTCTAGAGATCATAAGTTATATAATTTAATCAATAAGTATAACATACAGGAGTATTTTGAAGTATACTAACTGTGACCATTTCTCCCATTTAAAATGTGCTTCTATCTGCATCTATATTAATTGCTAGTAGGTTCCAAATCTTTTAGTTATACTCGGTTCGCTAATCTCAGTCCGAACTGTCTGATGATTTTAGTAATTATGTTTTTACGACGTTAGTTACTTTTTGACAGACTAGAAGTGGCTGGAAATTACTATACAACCAAGCACATGTGATCATAGCGAATTTCATTAGAGTATTTTGTCGACCTCTTTTGCAAACTTATAC